GGCATTCCTACACCTACACTGCTACCACAGAGGGTCAGTTCTGCCTGTATCAGGTGACTAGCAATGGAGGACTTGAAGACCTGGAAGAAGACATACCACTGGGCAGTACCCATGGTGTGTACTTTGATGCTGAGGAGGTAACGGAAGTAAAGGAAGCGTATGTCTTTAGTAAGAGCCAGGGTCAGCAATTTCACTGGCAGACAGCACACTGCTAGCTCTTCTAGGACCTTGCTCCGCTGTATCAAGCTTCCTACACTCCAGTGCCAGGCTCACAGTGAGCGCGCCAATGTGGCCACAGAACAAGGAAATGTATATTCATGAGCCGGTGGCCTTTACGCTCATGATGAAAAAGAAATGAAAAGTATCTTCTCTCAAGTTGTAAGCTTCTCGTGGGCATCAGAGTCTATTGTTAAAAAGCAAAGAGGTTAAAGGAGGGGCTTCTAGGCCCCATTGTCTACACTCAGGTTTCTTTTGAAAATTTTACAGTAGGTATGTATTGTTTTCTAGTCAGAACAGAAATAAAGGGATCTGTGTTGTTGAAAAGAAGTGGGGCTTTGGCACTAACGAGGAGAAAAGGAATATGTTTTACTTATTCATTCTAAGGTTCAAGGCTGAGACTGCTTATGACAAATGACAGATTAATAGAAGCATGCAAATTTGGGCTGATGACAGAGCTCAGCTGGCAAAGTTCCTGATATGCAAGTATGAAGACCTCCGTTCAATCCCTAGAAATCAAATAAGAAATCTGGGCACAATGTGGAAGGGGAGGCAGGAGGCTTCCTGGGGCTTACTGAACAGCTAACCTAGCCTATTTGTTCATTTCCAGGCCACTGAGGGAGCGTATCTAAAAAAAAAAAGGAAACATCAGAGGCTGTCCACGGTCACATACACAGTACATACAGGAACACACGCAAGCATGCAAATTCACTTATTAAGTAACTTGAGGTAGGGAGAACACTTATTCACTGTTAGTGGGTGTGTAAACTGGTGTAGCCACTATGGAAATTAGTGTAGAGGTTTCCCCCCAAAAAATCTTAAACTAGAACTACACTGTGATCCTAGCCTACCACTCTTACCAAAAGACTCTAAGTCAACCTGTGATAGAGACACCATATACAAGCAGGGCGTGGTGGCGCACACCTTTAATCCTAGCACTCGGGAGGCAGAGGTAAGTGGATCTCTGTGAGTTCGAGGCCAGCCGGGTCACAGAGCTAGTTCCGGGACAGCCATGGATATAGTGAGACTTTGTCTCAAAGTGAAGCCATGACATTTACAAGAAAATGGATGGAACTGGAAATCATGTTAAGCAAAGTATGTCAGATTCAGAAAGACAAATACTGCATGCCATCTTTCATGAGAAAAGGATGAGAAGAAGAAAAAAGGAGAGATCTTGGGGCGGGGATAACAGCATACGTGTGACATGAAAGCAGAAGGGGAGTTAGTTATTTGAGGGTAGAAAATGGATCAGGAGAATGAGGGGAACAGGCAGAAAATAGGGGAAGGGAGTAAAGGAAGAGGGTAAAAAGAAAAACATTTGGGGGCTAGCTAGGTATAGTGGTTCATGCTTTTAATCCCAGCACTTCAGACACAGAGACAGGCAGATCTCCGAGTTCAAGGGCAGCTTGGTCTACCTCGTGAGTTCCAGGACAGTCAAGGCTACACAGTGAGCCCCTGTCTCAGAGAAGGTGGCCAGGGCTAATGCTACCACAGCTGCACTGGAGGACTTAAACCTGCTCCTGCTAAATTTTGCACTTTCAACATTCCCAGATTCCCAAATTTATATTTTACTGTGGTTCAATAGACAATAGACTATAGACTTTGTGTACTATAGACAAACCTCAAGAAGAACTTTCAACCAATAGTCAACCCAAAATAACCTTTCAGTTGTTGTTTTAATTTTTTTTATGTGTATGGGTGTTTTGTCTGTATGTATGTCTGGGTGCCACTTGTATGCCTGGTACCCTCAGAAGCCAGATGGCTATGAACCCCCATGTAAGTGTTAGGAATTGAACCTGGGTCCTCTGGAAAAGTGTCCAGTGTTCTTAATTCCAGCCCCAGTTGTTTGTTTATGAGACAGGGTTTTGCTAGGTAGTCCAGGCTGGTCTTAAACTTTCTTTTTTAACTAGATATGGTCTCATGTACCCCAGGCTTGCCTCAGACTTCCAGTGCAGCTGAAGATGGCTTTAGACTCCCAATCCTCCTGCCTCTTCCTCTTGGAGTGCTGAGATAACAGTCCTGTGCCGCCATGCCGGGTTTAACATGAGGGTGGTGCGGGGAGGGAACTGGGAATCCATTCCTGAGCAGCATGTTCAGGCAGACACTGGGCGGAGGAGGAAAGGAAGGGGTGGAAAGGGAAGCAAGGCAGCAGGAGAAGAGGAGGAGACTTAGTCAGTAAAAGAAAAGGGAAATAGGGGTGTAACCTGCTTTGGAGAAGAGGTTCTCAACCAAGAGGTCACCCCCACCCCTTTGGGGGTTGAATGACTCTTTCATAGCGGTTGCGTAAGACCATCAGAAAGCACAGATGTTTATCTTCTGATTCCTAATAGTAGCTAAATTACAGTTATGAAGTAGCAATCAAAATAATTGTATGGCTGGGGTTGTGGTCACCACAACCTGAGGAACTGTATTAAAGGGTTGTTGATCTTAGGGAGGTTGAAAATCACCGGTTTAGAGAGTAAACTCCCAAATGTACTTTTTAATGATATAACTTCATTATTTATTGTGCACACATGCCACCTTTTCTTTATCCATTTCTCTGTTGAAGGCCATTTCGGCTGGTTCCATATCGTGGCTACTGTAACTAGTGCTCAAGAAATGTGGCTGTGTAAGTGTTGGTGGTGTGTGGTGTCACGAGTTGCCTCAGGATCCTGCTACCACAGCTATGCTGCTCTTACTACCACTGTGCCTTGCTTGCCATGCTAGATGGCACCCTCGAACTCCTAGCCCAGAGAGAGCTTTGCCTAGGGTGCTTCCTGCAGGTGCCTTGTCACCAGCGAGAAAGTAACAAATGCAGACCAGTTTGTTAAATGATAGGTCTATACCACTGAAGAAGAACCAAAATTTCTTCCGTTCCCATATGGCTCCCAAGATCATGTTGATTCTGAGTCACCATTTAATTCCCAACACCAAATGTATTTTTAAAATGCACACTGAAGGGCTGGGGGTGTAGTTCAGTTGGTAGAATGCTTGCCTCGTTTGAATGAATTAAATTCCTAGTACCATATAAACCAGGTTTGGTAGTGTGTAGTGATATTTCATCTGTATTTTAAAAAATAAAGCTTGCCTGAAGGTCAGAGAGTAAAATAGCCATACTGGTCAGCCTTAGAGACCAGACAGTGGTGGCACACACCTTTCATCCCAGTAGCCACACCGGTTTGCCATAGAATCCAGGTGGTAGTGGTGCATGCCTTTAATCTCAGCACTAGAGAGGAATATAAGACGGGAGGAGACAGCTCTCACACACAGTCTCATTCTGAGGTTCCTAGAAGGCAAGATGGCCATTTCGGACTGAGGTAGAGGTAAGAGCCAGTGGCTGGTTGTTTTTCTTTTCTTTTCTTTTCTTTTTAAAATATTTATTTATTTATTATGTATACAATGTTCTGTCTGTGTGTATGTCTGCAGGCCAGAAGAGGGCATCAGACCTTATTACAGATGGTTGTGAGCCACCATGTGGTTGCTGGGAATTGAACTCAGGACCTTTGGAAGAGCAGGCAATGCTCTTAACCACTGAGCCATCTCTCCAGCCCCTTGTTTTGCTTTTCTGACCTTCAGGTTGAACCCCAATTTCTGTCTCTGGGTTTTTATTTATAGTGCTACAGAAGTGCATGCCTTTAATCCTAGCAAAGGGAAGGTGGAGGCAAGATCAAGATTTCAATATTATTCTTGGCAAAAGAGCAAATTGGAGGCAAGCCATGACACGTGATACATAAGACTGTCTTTCAAAAAAAAAAACAGAATGAAGGAAGAGAGGGAGAAAAGGCGGAGGGAGACTGAAGGGGCTGAGAATGTAATTCAGTGGTAGACTGGAAGCTTAGCATATTCCAGGCTCTGGGTCCCACAAAACAAACCAAGCACACAAAACTGACTGGAGGCAGCCGAGGAAAGCTGGGAGTGAGACATCTGCTCCAGGGAAGAACAGTCCAGTGTCAAACAGTTGGCCCTGAAAACATACATGCAAATAGCATTATATGGGCCAAACAGTTTATATTTATGAATGAGTATATATATATATATATATATATATATATATATATATACACACACACACACACACACACACACACACACATATACACATCTATGCATGCAAAAACCATTAGTGAAAAAAAGGCCATGAATTTGAAGGAGAGTGCAGAGGGGTATATGGAAGGGTTTGGAGAGAGAAAAGGGAAGGAGGAAATGTAATTATATTATCATCTTAAAAAAATAAACCAGGCAGTGGGGTACACTCCTTTAATCCCAGCACCCAGGAGGCAGAGGCAGGCAGATCTCTGTGAGTTCGAGGCCAGCCTGGTCTACAAAGTGAGTTCTAGGTCAGCCAGGGCTGTTACACAGAGAAACTCTGTTTCGAAAAAAAAAAAAAAAAGATAGATAAATAAATAAATAATTTTTAAAAAGGCTTTTCTGGGAAAAAAAGGAGGGGACTGAGAAGATTTATATTAGAATGCTAATGGTGTTGACAATGACAGTGGGAAATAAAGCACGTTGGGGCTGTTAAAGCCAAGGCTGATGAGCTCAACTCAATCCTGGGAATCCGCGTGGTGGTAGGAGAGAACCAGACTTCTGCAAGTTGTCTGATCTTCACACTGGTGCAATGGTCGCCTTACTCCCCCACTTCACCCACCCCCACACATAAACAAGTAAACAAACAAACACACAAATAAGTGTAGTTTTAAAAAGAAAGGTGTATTGTGCCCTGCTTTGGCATATTGATGTATTTTCTATAATTCTACAAGGAACAAAAATACTAACTGTCATCCTCTTCCCACCTCATTTCCCAGCACCGGTGGGAGCTTCTCCTGGTGGCTGCACCCTCACCGGGACTTCTTCCAGAATGAGCTTCTGACCTTTCAGGGCATTATTTTCAGTTTGCTTTTCCTTGCGATTGATGATTCTGTGGAATTTCTCTCTTTTCTTAATTTCATTTTTCCTTTCCTGTTCTTTTGCTCAGCTACATTGGGATTATCATCGACAGAGGTATGTTACAGTAAGAATACTGGAATTTCCATCAGTATTGCTTTTGAAGTTAACTAATTGTATGAGTCTAGCACTGGGGGAGCGTACAGACATGAAACCTAGGACCTCGTGCAAGCTAAGCAAGTGATTTGCTTTGAGCTACACACACCTGAAGCCTGAGAGCGTTTTTTCAAATGTCTATTATTTTATTTGTGTGTGGGGTGTGTGGGGCGTGTGCACATGAGTGTAAGGGTGCGCACACCTGAGCACATGCATTTGAAGGTGAGGGGAAGACTTTGGATGTCATCTTCTATTGCTTTGAGACAAGTGCTCTCGCTAAACTGGAAGCTTTCTTTTTAGGCTAGGTGGGCTGGCCAAGAGCTCCCTGAATCACCGTTCTCTATTCCCCTAAACTGGAAGTGCGGGCACATGCAGCCATACCCAGCGTCCTACCTAGGTGCTGCAGATTTCAACTCAGGTCCTCATATTTGCACAACGAATCCTCTTACCCACTGAGGCATCGTCCCAGTGCCTTTTCAAATGCATTTCTAAAAACGTTTCAGACTAAAATTAGGCCTGTCATTCCAGCACTCAGTAATCGGAGACACTAAAGGTTAGCCTGGCTGCACAGTAACTTTCAGGCCAGCCTGGGCTACAAAGTAAGACCCTGACTCAAACAAACAACAAAGGAAAGGAAGGGAAGGGAAGGGAAGGGAAGGGAAGGGAAGGGAAGGGAAGGGAAGGGAAGGGAAGGGAAGGGAAGGGAAGGGAAGGGAAGGGAAGGGAAGGGAAGGGAAGGGAAGGGAAGGGAAGGGAAGGGAAGGGAAGGGAAGGGAAGGGAAGGGAAGGGAAGGGAAGGGAAGGGAAGGGAAGGGAAGGGAAGGGAAGGGAAGGGAAGGGAAGGGAAGGGAAGGGAAGAAGGGAAGGGAAGAAGGGAAGGGAAGAAGGGAAGGGAAGAAGGGAAGGGAAGAAGGGAAGGGAAGAAGGGAAGGGAAGAAGGGAAGGGAAGAAGGGAAGGGAAGAAGGGAAGGGAAGAAGGGAAGGGAAGAAGGGAAGGGAAGAAGGGAAGGGAAGAAGGGAAGGGAAGAAGGGAAGGGAAGAAGGGAAGGGAAGAAGGGAAGGGAAGAAGGGAAGGGAAGGGAAAAAGGGAAGGGAAGGGAAGGGAAGGGAAGGGAAGAAGGGAAGGGAAGGGAAAGGAAGGGAAGGGAAGGGAAGGGAAGGGAAGGGAAGGGAAGGGAAAGGAAAGGAAAGGAAAGGAAAGGAAAGGAAAGGAAAGGAAAGGAAAGGAAAGGAAAGGAAAGGAAAGGAAAGGAAAGGAAGAAGAGATAAAAGAAACAAGAAAGGAAGGGAAGGGTGCGGGTGGGGAGCAGCTAGGAACATAGCTCAGTTGTCAGAGTGTTTATCTAGCATCCATTCGCATCCGTGGTCCATTAAACTGGATGTGGTGGTGCAGGTCTATAATGCCAGAACTCTAGGGTAGAAGCCAGGTGTCAAGGGCTCCTTTGACTGCATAGAGAGTTCAAGGCCAGCCTGGAATATGTGAGAACCTGTCTCAAGAAAATAAGAATAACAAAAACAAAACCAAAAATCAAAAAAAAAATACCCACCCAGACCTATTTTAGGAACCTTTGCTCATGCTAGGCAAGTGATTTAACACTTAGTCACACCCCTAGTAAGACTGGTGGGACTTCTTTGTTCTTAGAATTTTTCTATGTAGCACAGATACCATACCCAGTTAGACTGGCATCTGTTTTCCTGTTGTTATTGTTGCTTTTTTTTTTTTTTTTTTACTCAGATTCTCATGTAGCACAGGCTGGCCTGGAACTAATGATCACCTTGAACTTTTTTTAAAAAGATTTATTTCTTTTGTATACAGTGTTCTATCTGCATGTATGCCTGCAGGCCAAAAGAAGGCACCAGATTTCATTACAGATGGTTGTGAGCCACCATGTGGTTGCTGGGAATTGAACTCAGGACCTTGGGAAAAACTATCAGTGCTCTTAACCACTGAGCCAACTCTCCAGCCCATCACCTTGAACTCTTGATCCTCCTATCTCTATCTCCCAAGTACTGGATTACAGTCATGAACTATACCACAGGTAGTTTTAAAATCGGATGCCTAGATAGGACCCTCCAGGGAGCATGATGAGTCCAACCTTGTACTGGAACTCCATCCCCAAGAAGGTCAACATTATTAGCCTACAGTGACAGACATTTACTTATTTAGAATCAAAGATGAGAAGGCTATGGTGGAATACATCTTTAAACTCAGCATTTGAGATGTAGAAGCAGGAGGGGCAGGAGGTTAGAGGCCATCCTTGGCTACACGGAATGTTGGAGGTCAGTCAACCTGTGCTGAATTCGGCCCTAGCTTGAAACAAAACAAAAAAGGAAATAGGAAGATGGCTCATTTGGTAAATCACTTGCTTCTCATGCACAAGGACTTGTGTTCATTCAATAGAACTTAGAAAACATTTTGGGCATGTTGGCAGGAGCTTGTAATCCCAGTGCTGGGGAGGTAGAGATAGGAGAATCCCTGGGCATGCTGGCCAACCAGTCTAGCCTAATTGGTGAGCTCCAGGCAGATAAGAGACCCTGCCTCAAAGGAAGCAGCTGGAATTCCCGAGAAAGGCATCCAGCTGTTCTCTAGCCACCACACATGAGTATCTAAGCACACATGCACATACACATTGTGTAAAAATGGAATATAGAGCTGGGGTACCTTCATTGGAAGAATGTTTGCTTAGCCTGCATGAAGAAGCTCTTGATTTGGTCCTAAGCACCATATAAACTGGGCAAGGTAGCATCCATCTATAAACCCAGCACTCACAGGAGGATGGGGGGGGGGCGGTTAAAGGTCATCCTCTGCTATGTAGTGAGTTTAAAGTCAGCCTGGGATACGTGAGAGAGACCTTGTCTAAAAAACAGCAGCAGCAGCGAGAACAACCCAAGCGAAAAAAGTAACATGAAATCAAAGAAAAGTGGCCACCGTGTGCGTTCAGAGGCACACGCTATAAGGAGTGAGTTTGACCTTTGCAAGCAAGCTTCTTGTGGTACGCTGGCCAGTTGTCTTTGACTGTGACTTCTATGACTTGTATCACTCTGGCTGCCTGCAGGATGAGGGCGAGGACCCCTGGTACCACAAAGCATGCAAATGTGATTGCCAGGGAGGAGCCAATGCTCTGTGGTCGGCTGGAGCTGCCTCTTTAGACTGTATTCCAGGTAAGTGGCTCAACACCCTACCATTCCTCCTTCCAACGCCCAGTTCCTCTGCTTGTGTTTTCTCCCATGCCCACTTGTGGGAATCACATCTCACACTGGCCACTGCTCCAACATGCTCCTTCCCTCTCTGCTTGACTGAGATGGTCAGATGAGACCCAACTGTCAACGCAATCTGAAAATAACTGAGTGGGGGGGGGGGAGTCCCCTTTTTATGGATATCAGAGGAAGGAGTGGGTTCTATGTCCTGTGATTGATGAGTAGTCCATAGTATGTACTTGGAGTCAGGCTGTCTCCAAATCAACTTTGAGGGTAGGGAGGGCAAGAATCTGGAAAAACAAGTTGCTTCAGTTCTAGAAACCAAATTATTATTGTTTCTTGGATTGTCAGAGTTCAGCCAAAATGGAGGAGCTCTACAAAATGGTATGATCCTGGCCAACACTAACTACTGCCATTGTGGGTTTGGAAGTAGCCACAGGCATTGTATGAACGCATAAGCATGGCTGTGTCTCAGTAACATTTTATAATAAAGCAGGCACTGGTGAGCCCAGGTATGGTGGTACAAGCCTGTGATTCCCAACACTTGGGAGGCAGAGGCAGCAGGATCATGAGTTTGAGACCAGCCTGGGCTATACAGTGAGACACTGTCACTAACAGAACAAATGGGTGATGAGTCGAACTTGATTTAGAGGTTACAGTTTGGTGACTCTGCTCTGTGGGGCTGTTAGGAGGAACGGATAGGACAAGGCATCATTGTGTTGAACTTGGCCAACAGCAGCCTTTATTAGACATTGGTTCTTTTGTTTTGTTACGTCCTTGGAGTTAGCACTGAGAAATCAGAGCAGACTTGCAGAGGCTTGCACTGTCTCTGCAAATATTTGTAAGGCTTAATCTTTTCCATGGCCCAGGGCCAATTGTGCATGAAACTGGTCTGGCCACCCCTCTCCCGGTTATGACAGTGCCCTTCAGTCTCCTTTCCTCATGAGAAACTTAGTCTCTTCAGAGAACTGTGAGGTCAGGATGGGGAGCTGGGGGACAGGAAGGCTGTTCAGCGAAGTGGGGTTTTTCCTTAGAAATGTTGTCTCACTATGTTTGGTGGGGACTCATGAAGCTGTTAAATGCTGGTGTGATCTGCCCAGTCTTAAAGGATCTTCTCTAGTAATGCATCTATAAATCTGTTCAATGACTTTAGCTGCACACCTACCGTGTGCTGGGCACTGATAGGAAGTCAGGAACAAAGGCTTTGGCTCCGCCATGGTGAGAGTTACCATTTACTGGAAATGATTTTTTTTTTCTGCTGTGGATGGGGAGATATGCCTCCTCCCAATGGAAGACCCTCTAATCCAGTGCTTCTCAACCTTCCTAATAATGCTGTGACCCTTTAATACAGCTCCTCAAGTTGTGGTGTCTCCGAACCATAAGACAATTTTGTTGCTACTTCATAACTATGATTTAGTTACTGCTATGAATCATAATGTAAATATCTGATATGCGAAAGGGTTGTCTGATCCCCCAAAGGGTTTGAGAGCCACAATTTGAGACCCCTGGACTAATCCTGCAGGGTACTCTCCATTCTTATGCCCGAAGGGGAAGAACCATACCGGGGCACAGGTAAAGGGTGCAGGTGGTCACTGCTTCTTCTAGCAAGCACAAGGGTTTTAGAGGGGGAGGAAGCAAAGCAGGAAGTGAGTCCACCCTCCCCAGTCTCCTGAGGTGACAAAGGGCTGTCTCTAGTGCCTAGACTTCTATTTTTTTTTATTTTTCATTTTTATTTATTTATTTATTTATTTATTTATTTATTTATTTATTTATTTATTTTTGGTTTTTCGAGACAGGGTTTCTCTATGGTTTTGGAGCCTGTCCTGGGACTAGCTCTTGTAGACCAGGCTGGCCTTGAACTCACAGAGATCCACCTGATTCTGCCTCCTGAGTGCTGGGATTAAAGGCGTGCGCCACCACCGCCTGGCGTGCCTAGACTTCTAAGTTGCCAAAGATGGAAGCTTTATTAGAAGCAGTCTTTCTCCACAACTCAACCCGCTACACTTAGAGGCAGGAATACGTATGAAGGTGGAACCACAGATAAAGGGAGTAGCTGCCTTGTTGAGGGGGAAGGGGTGTTGTTGGAAGCCAGGTGGAGCCTGCCAAGATTAGGTCTGCTGTTTTCCTCGGAGCCTTGTCCCTTCCTTCTCCTATCTGGTCGGCTCCATCACCATCCATGCTGCCGTAGGCACTCCTCCTTTCTTATTGTGCCTGGCCTTGCCTTTGTGAGCCCAACCTTTGTTAGCCAAAACGTTTCCCGTAGGAATATGAGATCCACTGGGATTTTATTCCAAAGAAGCTTCTTGGGAAGTAGACAGGGGGCTGGGGATGCAGCTCTATTGGCGGGAGGCCTGTCTAGCACATACAGAGCCCTGGCTTTGACCTTTGGGGCTCATGATCCCAGCACCCTGGAGGTAGAAGCAGCAGGACCATTATTTCAAGACGGCACTCAGTGCTACAGAGGGAGTTTGAAGCCAGCCTGGATTATATAAGAAACTATGTCGAAAATAAATGAAGAGGGCCCGTGGCATGGGTCAGCAGGCCAAGATGCCTGCTGACCGGACTCACACAACGGCGGGAGATGGAGACTGCTTCAAGTTGTCCTCTGACCTCCAGATATACACTGATTTCCACGTGTGTGTGCTGGCACACTCCCTTCAACCCCTCCCCAAATAAGTAAATATATTGAAAATACAGAAGAAAAACAGAAAAGAAATTGAATAGGGATTGTTTATGGGGATTGCCTTTATTAAGTCAACCACTTGAGGAGCTGAGAAGGTCCTGCTTTGGCTATTTGGTCCCTTATGGAGTTGCCATGAACTTGAGGTTCTAACCTGATACTATATCTTGGCATAAGTGTTCTCTTTGTAGCATTTTTTTTCTAACACCATGGATACCTTCAGGAAGAAAGAACAAACGCCATGTCATTGTGTTAACTGGCTGTTCTGTGAAAGACAAGATTCAAGGCAGCAGGACTAGTCTCAAGCTTCCAGGAGTCACTCGTTGGTCACAGTTTCTTTCAGTCTCTCATGGAATGCCAAGAATATCACTTCGTCTGTCTGGATCTTGATGTTGAGTGCTTCCATCAGGGCCTGCCTCAGGAGGGAAGATCCTAGAAAGCACAGAAGTATGGGTGCTGTCACTCAGAGCTGCCCAGAGAGTGTACAGGGCTACTTAGGTTAAAGCCTAGAGGCTCCACCCACAGACTAGAAGACCAGGGACCTTTAGCTGCAGCTAAAACTGTTACAAATACCAATTCTGCCTTTTCCCCAGCTGAGCTAAGATCGGCCTGGCCTCTCAAGGATGGGGTATAACAGGGCGGGGCATGAGAAAGCCTAAACAATTCAGGGGTTCTGGCTGGGGATATAGTTGAGTGGTAGAGTACTTGCTTAACATGCGTGAAATCCTAGGTTCAATCCTCAGCACTACAAAAAACAAAAATAAAAACAAAGATAACCCAGTGGTTCCTCAGTAATTTACTTTTGCTCCAGATTTATTTGCTATGCAAATGTATATAATCTTTTATAAATATTTTTCTGTTTTATTACTCTGTGTTGTATTATCATTTTGTATTTTCAATTCTAACACACACAAACACAGAGTAACATTCATCGTCTCAGGAATTTCTTATCAGAAATGTTCCTGAGCTTCCCTGTCCTCCCTTTTAAAAGACAGGATCTGCTGTCGTCAAGGAGGACCTTCAACTCTTTGATTGTCCTGAGAACTACAGTTGTAAGCAGGTTCCACCCGGATTAGTTTTCTTTGGGTTTCTTTAGGTTAACTTTGTTCTCTGTTGTGGTGCTTGGGATTAATCCAAGAGCCTCACGCCACAAAGTACTTGGTGAACTATACACTAAGACTTTGTATGTGTTGAAAAGAACTACCACTGAGCAACATCCATACTCTGACTTTAGCCCTGAATATTCTTTATAAACAAGACTGGGCCTCATACAGAGCCATAAAATACAGACGGAATAAAGCAAGCTACCCTGTTAAGTACCTTAGCAACCCATTCCACATGTGTCCTTACACATCAAGGGTCACTTGCGCCATAAAAGGTGCAAGGTTTTCCTTTAAGAGTAAAATGACTACAGGAATCATGTCATAAGGGCTGCCAGGTGACTTGAGATGGACCAATAGGAAGAATTCTTTCTGTGCAAGCTTGAGGACCCGAGGTTCAATTCCCAACACCCTCATTAAAAACTGTGTTGCACGCCTTTAAACTCAGCACTCGGGAGGCAGAAGCAGGTGGATCTCTGTGAGTTCGAGGCCAGCCTGGTCTACAGAGTGAGTTCCAGAACAGATGTCAAAGCTAGGCAGAGAAACCCTGTCTTGAAAACAAAACAAAACAAACATAAAACCTCACCACCACCGACAACAAAAACTAGGCATCACAAGGTGTGGAGACACACACTTTTAATTCCAGCACCCAGGAGGTAGAAGCAGGCAGGTTTATGGGCTTGAGGCCAGCATTGTATACATAGTAAGTTCCAGGCTAGCCAGCACTACTAGGTGAAACCTGATCAAAACAACAACCAAAACCAAGAACACAAAAACTAAGCATTTCAGTGTATGTGACCTCAGCATTGGTGAATGGAGAGAGGTGGATTATGGGAGTTTGGTAGCTAGCCGGTCAAGAAAAAACACTGAGCTTCAGTCCAGTAAGAGACTCTTGTCTAATTTTTTTTTAAAAAAAAAAAAACAATCTTTTTTCATTATACATACCAATCCCTGTTCCCACTCCCTCCCTTCCTCCCATTCCCTGCACTTTCTCCTCCACTCCAACCCTCTATCCACTCCTCAGAGAGGGTAGGTACATTTCTTTGGGGAAGGTCCAAGGCCCTCCCTACTAGGCAAGGTATGAGCAAGGTATCCATCCAAAGAGAATAGGTTCCAAAAAAGCCAGCACAAGCTGTAGGGATAAAACCTGATGCCACTGCCAGTGGCTCCGCAGTCTGCCCCAGCCATATAACTGTCACCCACATTCAGAGGGACTAGTTTGGTCCTATGCTTGGAGTGTTGGAGAGCTTCCATTAGCTCATGTAAGCTGTGTCAGTGGGTGTCCCCATCATGGTCTTGACCTCTTTGTTCATATTCTCATTTCCCCACTCTTCAACTGGACTTTGGGAGCTCAGTCCAGTGCTCCGATGTGGGAAGAGACCCTGTCTTTTTTTTTCTGATTTAAAGATGGTTTTTATTTTTTTTAATTTTTTTAAAATTTATTTATTTATTAAAGATTTCTGCCTCCTCCCCGCCACCGCCTCCCATTTCCTCCCCCTCCCCCAATCAAGTCACCCTCCCTCGTCAGCCCAAAGAGCAATCAGGGTTCCCTGCACTGTGGGAAGTCCAAGGACCACCCACCTCCATCCAGGACTAGTAAGATGAGCATCCAAACTGCCTTGGCTCCCACAAAGCCAGTACGTGCAGTAGGATCAAAAACCCATTGCCATTGTTCTTGAGTTCTCAGTAGTCCTCATTGTCCGCTATGTTCAGAGAGTCCGGTTTTATCTCATGTTTTTTCAGACCCGGGCCAGCTGGCCTTGGTGAGTTCCCGAAAGAACATCCCCATTGTCTCAGTGTGTGGGTGCACCCCTCGTGGTCCTGAGTTCCATGCTCGTACTCTCTCTCCTTCTGCTCCTGATTTGGGCCTTGAGATTTCTGTCCGGTGCTCCAATGTGGGTGGGTCTCTGTCCCTGTCTCCTTTCATTGCCTGATGAAGGTTAATATTCAGGAGGGTGCCTATATGTTTTTCTTTGGGTTCACCTTCTTATTTAGCTTCTCTAGGATCACGAATTATAGGCTCAATGTCCTTTATTTATGGCTAGAAACCAAATATGAGTGAGTACATCCCATGTTCCTCTTTTTGGGTCTGGCTTACCTCACTCAGGATAGTGTTTTCTATTTCTGTCCATTTGTATGCAAAATTCAAGAAGTCATTGTTTTTTACTGCTGAGTAGTACTCTAATATGTATATATTCCATACACTCTTCATCCATTCTTCCATTGAAGGGCATCTGGGTTGTTTCCAGGTTCTGGCTATTACAAACAATGCTGCTATGAACATAGTTGAGCATATACTTTTGTTGTATGATAGGGCCTCTCTTTGGTATATTCCCAAGAGTGGTATTGCTGAGAGAGACCCTGTCTTAAGGCAGAGGGTGATAAAGGAATTCACCCAACATCCTCTTCTGCTCTCCACATGAGCATGTGCACTTGTGGCGCACCTGCATACAGCACACGCGCATGTGCATACACACACACACACACACACACACACACACACACTCGATAGTGCAGTAGCTGTTTACAACAAAATCACTGGCAGAAACTTGGGAAGGTAATGTTCTTTGTGGGTTTGACAGGGATCAGCCCCTTTGAAGCTTGCAAGAATTGCCTGGGGGTGAGGTCTGGGCTCTCCAGGAAGTATATGGCTGCTTATGGTGGAACCTCTCTCTAGGCCACACTTCCTTAGAGTCCCCAGATGGTTTCCTGAGGGTGTCCAGAGGGCTAACTCATTCTTGGTCCTCAGTGGAAATGTGTGTCCAGTGAACTCAGGCCTCCACAAGGTTCCTTTTGCCTTAAGCTGTGGCTGTCGCCTCATCATTCAAGTCTCTCATTCTGAAAGATGTTGACAGTTGGGTAGGTGTAGGGGAAGACAGACAAGCAAGGGGAGGTGGGGGGGCTGGATTTCTGCCATGGTAAGTCCAAAGAAAAACATGCAAAACCGAGAAAGAATCCATTGAGCTTCATGAGTTTACCCAACACCACCAACCAGTGTTACAGCCTGCTCCTTTTCAGCTAGGCTCTGTACTCAGGGTCTACAGGTGCCAAACATGATTTCACTTTATCTTGTTCCACGTGGCTCGAGGCACTATTCCTATGGCGCCCATTCACAAGGTGAGGAAATAGGCTCAGAGGGAGTTAAGACAGCTGTTGCTACTGCGGGTCTTTAGCTTACTCCTGTCATGTGGGTGATGCGGAAACAAAGCACCAGAGTCCATGAAAGGTAATGGAAAGAGCAAACGGCCACGAACAGGGACTGGAAAGTGGGACCAAGTTTCCTTCCTTTCTAGCCCATGACCCTGAAGAGAAAGGGTCAGAAAGCAAAGGAATTTGGTCATTAGATGTTGGAAGCAGAATTGACTTAGAGATATTCAGTTAGAATAGGACAGAGTGAGGCTAGAAATGTAGTTAATTTGGTAAAGTGCCTTCATGGTAAACAAAGGAAAAAATCTTAGAAATTAAAGAATCCGAGGAGACAGGTGGGCATACACCTATAATCTCAGCACTTGGGAGGTGAACGCAGAGAAATCAAGGCCAGACTTAACTCTATAGCAAGTGTTCATAGTGAGTTTGAGGCCAGCCTGGGCTACATGAGACCTTGTCCTCCCAAACCAAACCAAACAGGTTAAGTGACAGGTCAAGGCCCATTAAAACCCTGGTTTTTGCCACTGGGATCTTTTCCAACCTTCTGCAAGACTCTGTCTTGCAGGTTGAAGGGATGTTGGGGGCTGGGTGTCTGGCTCTCTCAATCCACCAGCCCACAGAATGTCTTCTCTGACAGGCCAAAGCTTTTAAAATGCACTCTCAAAGTATGCTTGTTAAAAACACTCCTCTCCGGGAGTGGAGTCCCAGCCACTGAATTCCTAACAAGGTCCCCTAATGATTTGGCCACACCAGGTGTGATTGAGTGGCTCCTAAAGCACCGATCCTCTCTCCTGAAAGCTGGCGTGATTCTAATAGACTCCAAGGCCTTGAGCACTTGATAAACTACAAATGCTGTCCCCTTGGTCCCGCCCCGCTGAGACGTACAGACGTAGAAAAGAGCTGAGCTGTCCTAGCCTGAAGCCTGCGGCTATTCTGTCTATGGCGCCTCTGGGCAGGGCATGGCCATTTCTGAAGGTGGTGTGTGTGTGTGTGTGTGTGTGTGTGTGTGTTGGACCTTGTGCACGCTACAAAAACACTACCACTGGTCTACAGCCCCAGGCTGTTTTTACTGAATTTGGGAAGGTGTCTACAAAGAAGATTCAAACATCCCCTATTAGTTAATGTTCCAGGTGATGACGCCACAGCATATACACATGTTTTGCTTGAACTTATATTTACAAATGGAGAACATAATTTCCTTTGCCTTATTTGGAATGTATCGTTCTCAGGTAGGAAACGAAGCAAATGGAGGTGAATGGATGTATATAAGTTATCTTTTGTTTTCTATAGCATCTCAGTGAGGAGCTGGATTAGGATTCGAGTAAGAGGTTGCCTACCTAAGTGGCTTATCGAATTACTTTTGTACAGACGTGCAGGAAAAGGACTAGGGGTTAGAGAGTTACCTAAGGATAGCAGGCTAAGGATCCTGAAGGTCCCCGCAGAGTGCAAGTGACCTGTAGTTACCCCAGTTATCACGACTGCCTGCTATCTAGGCAGCAGGAACAAAGAGGGAACACAGAGAAAACTGGATTAGATAACTCTTAACAGACATTCTCTTGAACAAAGAGGGAACACAGAGAAAACTGGACTAGATAACTCTTACAGATATTCTCTTGTATGTCCTCTATCAGACGTTACACCACGGAGTCACGTCCAACCTTGAGAAACTCTGGGAAAGGCTTTAAAATTGTGTATGTGCTTCATTTATTTATTTACTTATAAATAAATAAAGCAAGTGATATCACTGCCCCTTAATAAAACTGCTTTGTTTTTGTCAAAACAAAAGGGAGATGCTCTGCTGTCAATTGGCAAGGTAACCCAAGGCTGGTTTTAATGTGAGGACTTACTTACAAAGGGAAGGGAGCAGCAGGCAACTAGCCCCTAAGGACCACTTTGGCTGTCCCCATCTGAAAGGAAGTAGTCCCCTTCAGCTGTTGCCTAATCATAGTCGTCCTTTATTTTTCTTCAGACATGGAGAAAATGACAATTCCCAAGCAGGAAGTCAGTCTCAGTATGTAATTGCCATTTCTGTGGCTCACCATTGTTTTCCGCCTATAATTGGCTTCATCAGCTGCTCAAGAACAATTAGAGACCCTAATGTTCATATGCAGCACAGTTCAACCTGTGATAATGAGGGAACTAAAGCTGGCCGCCTGGCATTTCAGTATGCTATTTTGCTGAGCACCTCTTGGCATTTAGGTCTCTAAACGGATGAGGGAGGCAATGCATTTCTCACACCCCCCCCATGGGGTTGCCATAGAACCCGCTTTTATGGATGTTGAGTGAATGTCTCTATGGCAAACAATTTACTTTAGTTCACCGCTATCCCATGAGCGCACTTAATAGGAGGAGGTCCAGCTTGCTGCATCTAGTACCATGCTGAGACACGAAATGTCCTCCACTTGCAAAGTGCCAGTGTTCCTGCTTTGTTCTTTAAAGCCATTTCCTGTCGGAGTTCAGGGATAAGGGGTTCATTCCTGCATTTGAGTTTTGAGATGGGATCTCAAAACTTTCTCAGGGCGGCCCAGAGAAGCTGGAACTCCACAGATACACACACTGCCACTCTGGTTAGAGTTGTGGGGGTTTGAGTGTGTGTTGTTTTTTTCCTCCTCAGAATGCCCCTATCACAAACCCCTGGGTTTCGAGTCAGGAGAGGTCACACCAGATCAGATCACCTGCTCCAGCCCGGAGCAGTATGTTGGCTGGTACTCCTCATGGACAGCAAACAAGGCCCGGCTCAACAGCCAAGGCTTCGGGTAAGTAGGGCACGCAGCCCAGGTGGAGACATACTTAAAAAAAATAAAATAAAATAAAAAGATGTGCTTTGAAAACTTAGGTCCGTCTCACAAACGGATGCCACATAAAGCACTTATTCAACAAACCCCAGCTGAGTGCCTTGTTGTGCCAAGGACTGCAAGTACAATGGTGGCATTGGTGACTTCCTTGGCATTGGTGACACACAGTGACGAGGGGGAGACAGACTGGAAGCACAGCCCTGCACACCCATTCAGCTCAAGGGATGAAAACTGCTGGGGAAATGGGGAAAGAAAGGAAGACCTCGTCAGCTAAAGATGCCAGGGAAGTCTCTCCTAAGGAAAGACCCCGAGGATTCCCGAGTTGGGATGATGCCCCTTGGTGCTAGGAGTCCCTCAAAAATCTGTCACCTGTTGGCTTTTTGTAGAGATTTATAGAGGATGGCTCCTGGTAATTTGGTGTGTTCCTGGCAGGTGCGCTTGGCTTTCCAAGTATCAGGACAGTAGCCAGTGGCTCCAGATAGATTTGAAGGAGATCAAGGTGATTTCGGGTATCCTTACCCAGGGACGCTGTGACATAGATGAGTGGATGACAAAGTACAGTGTGCAATACAGGACCGATGAACGCCTGAACTGGATTTACTATAAGGACCAGACTGGAAACAATCGGGTAAGTGGGACTCACTCCAAGTCACCATCCCTTGAGACTTGCCCCAGCCTGCTGTCCATGTGTATGTCCTAACGCTGACCCCTCTGCATGTTGGGTCATTTGCGTTCCATCTCCACTGTATGATCTGCTCTCTTTCCCAGAGGTACCCCGGGCCACTAGCAGTTTCTACATGAATGCTGTACTTTCATGCCAAAGAGGTGGTTTTCTAGTTCTCAGTAACAGCCTGTAATCACTCAAAAACACCGCCCTGGCTATCTGGACTGTTCCAAACTCACTGGGTCATTGACCGTGGGGTTTCATGGGCCTGACTTAACTTGCTAGCACTCATTTGCATAGTTATGGCCTCTTCTTACTACTGACCGAGACTGACAGCTGCAAAGGAAGCCTAGCAAGTTAGCCACTTTGAGGCTCGAGAGATGGCTCAGTGGTTAAGAACACATGTTACTCTTGCAGAGAAGCAGAGTCCAGCTCCCAACACCCGGATCATAATGTTCTGTAACTCCAGTTCCAGGGGATCAGGTGCTTCTGGCTTCCAAGGACATCTGCACTCCCTTGGCACATAGCCACACACAGGCATGCGTGAATACACATAACAGTAAAAGCAATGCTAAAAACAAGTTTGAAAATATTAGCAATTGCTAATATTAAGATGAACTAATATTAATTGCCTAAATGGCTATTTAAAAGATGGTGTCAGTACAGACACACTTAATCTATTAATCCTTGCAGGCTGAGTTCTAGATCTTCACTATGAACTAACCACATTAAGCACCTGGCTGTCTTTGCAAAAAAAAAAAAAAAAAAAAAAACCTCATTAGCTGTTTGGAAATGGAAATGCTACCCCCCCCCCCCTTTTTTTTTTGGCCCAACAGTAAGGAATTCTTCAGGCTATTTCCGATCTCTCTCCTGCCCTCTCAATGTGCAGCCCAGGCTGGTCCTGATCCTCTCGCCTCACTCTCCTGAATGCTGGGATTACAGGCGTGTGCCACTGCTTCCAGTTCTCCTCAGACTATTTTTGACATTTAATCGATTTATGTAGATATGTGTGACTGATAATCAGAAGGCCTTATAGTCCATGGTGGCAGTTTGCACAGTAAGACAAACACAGGTTGAAGTTAGGAGGAGTCTGACACAGTGGGAAAAACCATTTTGATGCTTTTTTTTGAGACTACAAGGTTTCAGGCATCCCACGCTGGTTTCTAATTTGCATATGGCTGAGGATAACCTTGGACTTCTGCTCCCCCTGCTCCTATCCACCTCCTGAGGGCTGGGATTGTAGCTGTATAACCATGGACAGTTTATGTGGTGTTGGGGATCAGACCCTAGCATTTTGTGCTTGTTAGTCAAGCACACTACCAATTGGGCCACACCCCCAGCACCTCCTAATTTCATTCTCTGGCCTTACCAGTTGACATTAGAATTCTTTTGTAAGCCTTGGACTTGTGAAGGCCTTGGTGACACTCTGAAGGCACTCCACCTCCATTCATGAAGTCTCAGGCCACATCCCATCAACTCCCTCTTCACTTTCTCCTGACTCTTAGATATGCTGAAGGACAAACAGCTTAGAGAGAAGGCAGCTCAGGCCTTCTTGCTAGGAAGAAAGGCAAGATCACTGCAAATGAGGGCCGCCTATTTTGTGGCTAGATAAAGCTAAGTGCAGCAGTTAAATATTTTAAAGAGACAGTTACAGGAGGAAATGAGATGCTTTTATGTCATGGAGCAGAACACCATGACCCTAGAAAGAGTATGAAGAATTCAGAAATAGCGTCAAGCACCTACAACATTTTATGTTGCTTCCTGAAAAGCATTAAGCAAACCTTTTATCTCTATGTCAACACCACCTTCTCCTTTCCAGAATTTTCCCTCTAGTTTAGTCTGTTTGTAAAAAATAGTCTTCCAAGTCTGAAAGGCACTTGTCACTTGGAACACAGTAGAAACACACATTTAAGCTTTGCCTTCCAACTTCAGAGGCAGTTACAGGTTTGACGAGTGTACCCTGGATATCTTCGGAACACGTGAACACCTCTCTTGTGTGGGATGAACCCTTTCAATTTTTTTTTTTGTCAAAGGGCAAAGGATTAAAATGGAAAATTTGTGAAGAGACAAGATGCATATTCTAGCAACCATCCAATCGGACTCTGTAATGACAAAAATACTCATATCTGTACTGGCCGCCATGCTGACTACGGGTCATGTGCAGCTGCTGACCACTTTAAATGTAGCTGATGTGGGCTGGGCATGTGGTACCGTGGGAGAGTGCTTATTTGGCACATACAAGGCCTTGGCATCCTACCGCGTGTGTGTGTGTATACACGTGCACACACACACAGGCGAGAAACTAAATTTCCATGTACTTTCACTTCATATAAATTTAACTGGGCACACATGACTATTGGCTACCATTTTGGATAGTGCAATGTCCCCAGAGCATGTAGCTGTTTGCAATCAGCCAGCCAGATTTTTATGGGGTGGCTGAGCAGATAAAGGTACTTGCCACCAAGCATGGCAACCTGAGTTCAAGACTTAGAATCCACATATCAGGAGAGAACTGATTGGACTCCCGAAAGTGGTGTTCTGACTTCTACACACATACTGTGGCACATAGGCACGCACGCACGCACACCCACACGCACCCACACACACAGACACACAATTTGTATGTGGATATTATATGACCAGATTTCCTCCCTCTGTTTAGGTCTTCTATGGAAATTCAGACCGGAGTTCTACAGTCCAGAATTTACTGAGGCCCCCCATCATTTCCCGCTTCATCCGACTGATCCCTCTGGGCTGGCATGTCCGAATTGCCATCCGGATGGAACTGCTTGAGTGTGCCAGCAAGTGTGCCTGATGCCCATTCATTTCAGCTCAGTCCTGCCACAGTGGGGAGAGCTTGGTGGGGGGATGGGGGACACCTGCCATGTCACTGTGATGAATAGGGCTGTATCTTCTAAGTACTTTAAAATGTAGATTTGGGTAGAGAATATTTCACTTTTAAAAAGATATAGTTTTGAGTTTCAATGGAAGAAAAAAAATAAGCATTTCCTGAACTCGGCCAAAGAAAATAAGAACAAAGAAAATATCCCTCAAACCACTTTCTTACATAAACCTAAATAGCAGGGGTAATTTGCTGCTCTCGCTCGCTCCCTCTCTTTTTCTTTTTGTCTAAGTGAACTGTCAAAGGTGCAGACCCAGAGGAACATAAAGCAGCTCTAATAATTTGAAAATTCTTTTTGGCTCTTACCACATTCAGAACAGGAGCATACGATTTTGCAAAGCCTCACAAGAATGCTGAAGGACTGCCCTTAAAACTTTCATTAAATCCTGACTAAAGTGGACTGGAGACACCAAGCAGGCAGGCATGAATAAAGCAGTGGGGAGCCTGCAGCATGGGGCCCAGAGGCTGTAAACAGCAACCAACCCACCCACCAACCAACCAACCCACCAACCAACCCACCAACCCACCAACTCACCAACCAACCCACCAACTCACCAACCAACCCACCAACCAATCAACCCACCAACCAACCAACCGACTAGTCAAGGCTCCCCCCTCCTAGAACTGTTTTTGCCTGGAAGGGGTTTGGTTATTTAGCTACAGGCCTGAGGGAATTAGGGCCATTCCTTTTACAATTAGCTCTATTCTAGAACCCATTCAGCCAGCTGTCCATCTGTGGTTACCAGGAAATGAATGCAAGGAGAAGGCTGCGTGTGTGGGTAGTGAGGGTTCCCTTACACAGAGGAAGCCCAAATGACTAGACTACATCACATCTCTTTTATCTATGGCTACAATTTTCCAGAAAAAGAACACACTTTGAAGCGCAGCTGAGGTAAGACATAACTCTGGCTCCTAGGAGGAGAGCATGCTTTGTGGAAAGGGGTCAGAGCTCCTGTCAGAGGACTGTGTGGGGATGGCTCAGTCACTAAAGTGCTTGCTGTACAAGCAAAAGGACTTGACCTTACATTCCTAGAATCCATGTGAAAAACTAGGCAGGTACGGTAGACGTGCCTTTAATCTCAGAATTTGAGAGTCAGAAGCAAGCAGATCTCTGTGAGTTCAAGGCCAGCCTGGTCTACATAGCAGTTCCAAGCCAGTCATAGCTACACAGTGACACTCTGTCTCAAGAAAAAAGAAAGCCAGGCATGGAAAGTCATACCTGTAAATTCTAGGACTATGAGTCAGGTAGAGACAGGAGGATTCCTAGAGCTTGCTGGCCAGTCAGTCTAGCCTAATCAGTAAGCTCCAGGTTCACTGAGAAACCCAGTCTCAGAAAGTGAAGAGCGATTGAGGAAGAGACCAGATGTGGACCTCTGTCCCGTATGTGCACATAGGTCAACCTATGAGCAGGGAGAGTCTATTGCTTCTCTGTGAGATGCTTCTCCCTTCTGACTTCGGCCTTGCCCACTCAAACGTGCTTCCTTTGACATGGCATCTGAAACCTCGTCTGGTAGGAATGGGCTTGGCTCCTGGTTCTCTGGTTGGAGAAGCTCATCTAGCAGGGAGCTTTAGAACCTGAGAGAATGACTACTGCTCTTGGTCCCATTTGCCACCTGGAGCTCATGCTGTGTTTGAGGCCTTTCCCTGGGAGAGGCGTGTGGGGAGAAGCTGACAATCCAGAGGATGGAGCCCTCCAAAGACAAGGGCCTGGCCCCTCCCCCTACACACACAGTGTAGCCTTGGTTAGCAGATTTTTTTCTCTGGTATAACTTTCCATTTCCAGATATTAAAAGAAATGAATGGACTCACACTAAAATGACCTAGGATGGCCGGACTTGGTGGTGTATATCTTTAATCCCAGCGCTTGGGAGACACGGACAGGTGGATCTCTGTGAGTTCAAGGCCAGGTCTACAGAGCGAGCTCCAGGTCAGCCAAAGCAAAATAGTGAGGCTGTCTCTCAAAAATCAATCAACCAACCAACCAACCAATCAATCAAATGACCTTGGATGCCACAATCTTCTTAGTGAATGGAAAAACTTCTTCAAAGCTTCCAATTTCCTACCTAGCGTTTTAGAGTTCCACAGGGGTGTGTGTGGGTACGTGTAGTGTGTGTGTGTGTGTGTGTGTGTGTGTGTGTGTGTGGAGGGGAGGTGACACTGCTCAATGACATTCCTAGAATTACTGCATATACAAATCCATTTTGGATGAAATTCCTGAAAGCTGACTCTTATTTGGAAAACTTACTTTTTTTTAACCACACTGAGTAATTGGCAGAGAAAATAACTTGAGTTCTGATGAGGGAAAAAATAGACAAAAGGCTGTGGGTATGAGGCGTGGATAAAGACCCATCAAGTAACAGTTCAGATCATAAATTTGTTTTGTAAGAGTTTTATTAAGTTCACACAAATAACCCTTATCCACTTGCAGTGTATAATTCGACAAAGTATGTTCAGACCTGTGCAATTATTACCACAAGTAACTTTAGCCTATTCTTTTTTTTAAAAAATATTTATTTATCTATTATTTATACAGTATTTTGTCTGCTTGTATGCCTGTAGGCCAGAAGAGGGCACCAGACCCCATTACAGATGGTTGTGAGCCACCATGTGGTTGCTGGGAATTGAACTCAGGACCTTTGGAAGAGCAGGCAGTGCTCTTAACCGCTGAGCCATTTCTCCAGCCCCCAACTTTAGCCTATTCTTATCACCCCTGGGGGAATCCTCCCATGAGCCATCAGCCACCACAATCCTGGGCTACTTGTAATCCATTTTACCTATAGATTTATCTAGTTCTGGGCATTTCCCCAGATACATGGAATCCTAGGATATATAGTAGTTCTTGGTTGGTTTCTTCTCCTTATCATTGTGTTTCTAAAGTCCATGTGTTGGAGAAGTACTTCTCCCCTTTTTGTTACTATCATTCCATGTAGGAATATTCAATTAGTATCTACCCATTCTTCTGGGTGCTTTCTACTTTGGAGCATAATGCTGCTACATGAACATTGATGTGCAAATTTTTGCATAGACATGCTTTATCTTGAGCATACACACCACACATTTAGATTTGTTGGGTCACTTGGTGACTTCATGCTTAGCCTTATCAAAACTTACTTGCCCAGGTGGCTGCACCATTTTCTGTTCCCACTAGCAATGTATAAAGGGTTCCAATCTCTCCACATCTTCAGTAACGCTTCTCGTCTTCCTTTAGATCCATTGTAGAATGTGTGTAGTGGCATTCCATGGTGATTTTGATTTGCATTTCCCTAATAACCAATGGTGTTGAGCATCTTTTCAAGGGGCAATTTGCATATCTTTAGAGAACCGGCTATTCAAACCCTTTCCCCATTTTAAAATTTCAATTCATCATTTCATTAAGAGTTCTTTGCATATTCTACATATAATCCTCTTATGCAAATTTCTGTTGTTGTCCTTTGAGACAAGGTCTCACTATGTAGCTCTGGCTAACCTGGAACTCACTCTGTAGACCAGGCTGGCCTAGAACTCAGAGATCCTGCTGCCTCTGCCTCTCAAGTTCTGGGTCATCACATCTGGCCTTTCATTTTTTCAAACTCCCTTGGTGAAGTCCTTTGAAGCATGGCAAGGTCCAGATTTCTAGGAAGTCCAACTTTCCCGCTGTGTCTTTTGATGTATTATCTGAGAAACTACTCCCAAGTCTAGGGTCAAGAAGGTTCACTCCTCTGTTTTCTTCAAACAGTTTGAAAATTCTTTCAAAAAAGAGTTTTAAAGCAAGAGTCTAATTTCATTCTTTGCATGTCAATATGCAGTTGTCCTGGTACCTTCTGTGGAAGCCCTTCCCCCAAATGAATGGGCTTTGTACCCTTGCCAAAACCAACTGGCCCAGAATATGAGGGTTTCTTCTGGCCTCATAATTCTAGTCCTTCATAGTCTTCATTACTGTGGCACTGTAGGAAGTTATGAAATTAGGACATGTGAGTCTTCCAATTCTGCTCTTTTCAAGATTGCCTTGGCTCTTCTGGGTTCCTTACATTTCTAAATAAATATATCTGACGCCAGCCAGGGGTTTCACAATGGAAAATGCTTACAGTCTCAGAATTTAATAGCCAATGGGGACACTAAGGTCTGTGGGTAATTTGCTTTCAACAGCACACAGATTATTTACTTCATTACATTTGTGACAGGATGTATTAAAAACTAAACTATTACTGAAGGAAACCTGAAGCCTAACAATCTTACTAGTCGACAAAAACCAGTATGCTTCCAATATCATTTCTTTCAGGGGGTAATTCAATAAAATTATATAATGGAGCAAATTCATCCCTATCAGCGCATTTTGTTTATTTTTAATACTAGACTTTGGGTTATATGTGGAAGAATATTTTTATGCTTTTGAGGCCCTAACCCAGGGTCTAATACATGCTAGGCTAATGCTTTGCCACTAAGTTCCATCTGTAGCCTGCAAATTCAAACAAAACAAAACAAAGTAGCAAAGCACTCAATATTTGCATACTTTTAATTAATCATGAAGCATTAAATAATGCTATTAAGAAAAAAATTGGAAGTGATCCTGCTGCGTGATGTGGGAGGTTATATGGATAAAGCAAACTTTTTCCAAGTAGAGAAACTGCTATAAATTTGGTCTCAGAGCCAAGAAGATTACATCCCATAAGTAATGACTGCTGACAGTGCACCCCTCTGACCACATGAAGCGCAGCGCTAGAGGACAGCTGAAGAACACCCCATAAGCACTTTTGCTTCCCCAGTGAGGCCAACAGCCCTACATGAAGAGCAAAGAGAATACACATACCTAATGTACTAGCCAGAGCGGCTCTGTATAGCCAGCTTTCCACAGTCAGGGAAATTTCTTCCCAGTTTGATGATTGATTGGGAGAGAGAGAGAGAGAGAGAGAGAGAGAGAGAGAGAGAGAGAGAGA